CAAAGGTGAAGGTCAATTCGGGAAGGCGTAACATCGGTTGCTTCAGCGTGCCATAATGTGAATCGCTTCGTTAGAAACCTTGCCTTTCAAGGAAGTAAATTCGTCGAAATGCCAATTCGGCGAGTCGAAACCGGCAGAGAATGGCAACGGATAGGAACGTGACATTAAGTAGTCGCTAATACTGTTCGCATCTCGACAAAGGTCATTAGCATTGCACGAAGCTACGTTGACAAATCCGAGAGCAGTTTCGCAAGTTTGATCATTTTTTAGAGCCAAAATGCTGGTCAGACTGTTTTTTTAGGCCGGAAGTAGCAGCTTTCTTAATAAAGCGGGTGTGCGATTTCTCGTGTGAACAATTCTTAAATCAAGCGTGGGAATCAATGTGTCACCCAAATGTGGGTTCTATTTCCTGTCCTAACCATCCCCTCGTCAAATCTCAGTTTGTGGTACCACCTTGTTAATTGTCGGAACCAATGAAACGCGAGGCTGAGTCAAGTGCCGGACGCACTTTTATCCACACGGCTGGGTTGACATTCCCGAGGGAACCGATCCATTCCACCAGTTGACGTGACCTTGAAATAACCTTGAGGGGAAGACCCTGATGGGAGAAATGTTCCCTACTCTGACGATGTCCACTACCCTCTAGAATTCATTACTTGCAGTTATCCAAAAAGAATCAGTCAAAAATCAAGATGCAATAGCAGAACGTCCCCAGCTAGTTAAGCATCCGAAGCCGCGTTTTAATTAGAAAATTGGGTTTTTGTCTAAGTAATCCGAGCGGTGGAGCATTACACGGTTTTCGTCAGCAGATAAAACATTTGTTAAAAATTTTTAACGATGTAGGAATCAATGCTTATCCCCTAGACGCGTTCCTGTCCATTGTCCACTCATTGTCTTGCTTCTGTCCAGAGTAAAGCAAACGATACGGCGCGCTTGCTGAGGGGCCACCTGGTTGCTATGGTAACAGAGGACCTCATTGTCTGACCTCATTTTCGTGTGTGTGTGGCTTCACCTGGCACCGTTACCATACCCAGTCGTGAGTCACTGCACCCACCATCGAGGACTGTCGAAAGGCAACTCCACCTCGGAATGGGTGGCAAGGGACGGAAGGGGGTGCTGCCTAGAGAACCGGTAGTGAGTTCACGAGCTGGAGTTGACTTATTGCATCGGTGGTACAACGGACTACTACTTGAATGAATGGCAGGAAAGTATTTTCGGCCTGGGACTCTGATTAGTAAAAAAATTATTTTTCATTCTGTACAGATTCCCCACCGCTATTCTGATGGTACAAAGCCCAACTACTTTGTCACGGACTATCGGTCACTTTTTAGCCCAGATTCATTAATTCTTGACAAGTGAGTCGACCGTTTGTCTTCATTGGAACCAGTCCAAAGTACACCAGACTGACAGTGGCTGATCTTCGTTTAAAACAACCTCGGGAGAAACTGATTACGAGTATGCTCGAACCAAGGTGCAAGCTTTCGTATCTGCACGGCCGTTAGCCGAATCCCTTTCTCCGTGTGTTTAAATGAACTTTGATCCCTCGAAGTCCAGTGAATTTTAAGCCGGTTATTAGTTCACCCATTGTGTGCATCATGCAATCGAATTTCAACTGAAATCACCTTCAAGCGATGCCACAGCGTGTTTGCAGACAAAATCTTCATTTCAGTCCAGAAGGCACGAACTAAATTGACGTTTTGGCGTAATCGGTGCTTTGCCGAAATTAGCTTATCCGGTAATTGTTTGACTGTCTAGTCGACTAGATTTGTATCAATTCTAACTGAAGTCAAACACATCAACGATGCGTTTCCTTAGGTAGTAAATTTTGATAAAAGGACAAATTTTTTTCGATGGACAAATAACAGCATCAATTGAAGCGTTCACGTCATGCGTCAGTAAATTTGTGCTGGATTTACGCGAAATTCAATTTCATTTGTTTCAGGAGCGTGGACAGCTAGAGCCCAGTGTAATCTGTGTGCCAACACCGAGGCCTGGTGAAGTTTTGAGGCCGTATTTATGCAGGTGCATGGTGAGACGCTTTTAAATAAACGTCGTGACTCAGCATTGGTATCTGGGTGTCTACACGCAGATGCGGGATCAGATGGGACAACGCTGCTACGCACGAAATTCAGCCTAAATCGGCTTCCAAACTTACTGCGCTGTTGGCGGCGGAGAAGATGAGGGCGTTGGCGTCGGGTTCAGTGAGCATGAGGGCTCGCGGGCACCAGGCGTCAGCGGTGACGGTGAAGTTCGAGGGGGTGTGTGGTGGCGAAATGCCGCTTCCACGCATCTCTGGCATCTGCTTGCCCAGAATGAGAACAGCTGCGGCGGCGGCCGGACAGATGGACTGCAGGAGCTGGAGACGGCGGTAGGAGCAGGCGCGTAGGGGCCGGGGGCGATGCGTGTCGTCGCGGGGGAAGAAGGCCTCGCCTTCGTTGCCCAGAGGCGACCGGGCCCCCTGCTTCCACACCTCGCTGACGTTAGCAACACTGGTTGGACAAGAGATTGACCTTTAGCTTCACAGTCACTTGAGGGACAATGCTAGCTGGCCGAGATGTATCCTCTAGCCCTACTGTTTCCTTTCCCCCTTATTTGTGTGGTATTACTAACGAGGTGATGTAATTCGAAGAACATTGAATGACTCGATTTCAAGAAGGTAGGCTGTTCACTACATGAAATGGACTCTGTGCGTTCATTTTTGAACCGGTAGTGAGGCCATGTTGGTACAAGATTTAGCCAATAATTCTTACTTGTGGCAGCTCAAAATAAAAAAAAATGTCCATCGAAGCCAATTGGTCGAAAGCCTGGTGTAAGCAACGTGATTTCAGGCGAATCTGAATCCCATTAGAGAGTTGCTGAGTCTTGATGGACACAGTTTAATTAGGCCGAAATCAGACAACACCACGGATCACACCACCTCCAACAATTTCATGAAGGAGGTAGCCAGGTCACATTGCGCAGAACTTAGTTGGAGTACGATGAGCTTGGTTGGTGCAGTTTTGCTTGACTGTACAGGCTCAAAATAGGTAATGATGGTTTTCCTCAACTGTCGGTCGAGTTCACCAATCATCACACGACAAACCAGAGTGCTAGTGCCTTCATTTCGTCTGCGATGGCGCACAAGAGGCAAGGCTTTGGCTGT